GTAAATGATCTCTCGCACTCTCACAAGAGGAAGTATATTCCTCAATCACTCATATACATGACGCTGCTTATACAGCCACTGTCCAAACATCTGAACTCATTTCCTGCATTTACAGTAGAGCAGATGGTGTTTACCACAGCAGCGCCTCCTGCTGGACCACAACAACACTCTGTCATTTATATTTCTAACATTCTTCAAAGTATCTCAATTTATGTTCAACGAAAAAAAAAAAGACATTTATAACTGACAAAATAAACAATAACACACACAGTCACACACACACAGGTCGGCTGATTCAGCTGGTTTAATTTTCATACAAAAACTTCCTTGTACAAAAAAGCAGACAAATAGAAATATCAGAATCACCACAGCTCTAGTTATGTGTGTGTTATTCCCCTCGACAGGCCTCCTGAACAGTGTGTGTGTGTGTTATATTCCTCCGTCCGCCACTCTCCTGAACAGTGTGTGTCTCTGCGCGGTGCTCATGTTCTCGCAGGCCTCCAGCAGGTTGCTCAGGATCAGTGTGTGTTGGACGGTTCTGGCCTTCACCCACACTCTGCCGTTCATGCCCACCACCATCTCACAGGGGAACATCTTCTCCAGATCCGAAACCAGATCACTTTGTGGAGCCAGCAGCCTGCGCGCACACACACGCACACACACACACACACATCAGCGCACGATCACCACTAATAACTGCACATTTACATATTCACTTCTCTAAACTCAGGGCTTCTGTTAGTGACGACAATAGCAGAGTCCACTAAAGGAGGTCGAGTCTTCTCATTTATGGCTCCTAAACTCAGGTATAGCCTTTCTGATAATGTCAGACACCCTATCTTTTTAGTAACACACTCACACACACACACTGCTGCTCATAACAGTATGATGCATGAGTGTGTTCCACACAGGTGTGTGTTTTCTGCCCAGCAGTGTGTGTTAGAGTGTGTTTTCTGATCAGTAGTGTGTGTTAGAGTGTGTTTTCTGATCAGTAGTGTGTGTTTTCTGATCAGTAGTGTGTGTTTTCTGATCAGTAGTGTGTCTTAGTGTGTGTTTTCTGCCCAGCAGTGTGTGTTAGAGTGTGTTTTCTGATCAGTAGTGTGTGTTAGTGTGTGTTTTCTGATCAGTAGTGTGTGTTAGTGTGTGTTTTCTGATCAGTAGTGTGTGTTATAGTGTGTTTTCTGATCAGTAGTGTGTGTTAGTGTGTGTTTTCTGATCAGTAGTGTGTGTTGGTGTGTGTTTTCTGATCAGTAGTGTGTGTTTTCTGATCAGTAGTGTGTGTTAGAGTGTGTTTTCTGATCAGTAGTGTGTGTTTTCTGATCAGTAGTGTGTCTTAGTGTGTGTTTTCTGCCCAGCAGTATGTGTTAGAGTGTGTTTTCTGATCAGTAGTGTGTGTTATAGTGTGTTTTCTGATCAGTAGTGTGTGTTAGTGTGTGTTTTCTGATCAGTAGTGTGTGTTGGTGTGTGTTTTCTGATCAGTAGTGTGTGTTTTCTGATCAGTAGTGTGTGTTAGAGTGTGTTTTCTGATCAGTAGTGTGTGTTGGTGTGTGTTTTCTGATCAGTAGTGTGTGTTTTCTGCCCAGCAGTGTGTGTTAGAGTGTGTTTTCTGATCAGTAGTGTGTGTTAGTGTGTGTTTTCTGATCAGTAGTGTGTGTTAGTGTGTGTTTTCTGATCAGTAGTGTGTGTTAGTGTGTGTTTTCTGATCAGTAGTGTGTGTTAGCGTGTGTTTTCTGATCAGTAGTGTGTGTTATAGTGTGTTTTCTGATCAGTAGTGTGTGTTAGTGTGTGTTTTCTGATCAGTAGTGTGTGTTTTCTGATCAGTAGTGTGTGTTAGCGTGTGTTTTCTGATCAGTAGTGTGTGTTAGTGTGTGTTTTCTGATCAGTAGTGTGTGTTTTCTGATCAGTAGTGTGTGTTAGTGTGTGTTTTCTGATCAGTAGTGTGTGTTAGTGTGTGTTTTCTGATCAGTAGTGTGTGTTTTCTGATCAGTAGTGTGTGTTAGTGTGTGTTTTCTGATCAGTAGTGTGTGCTGGCTTGACCTGTCCTAGTACACCAGACACTGTGTTTAAACACTCGTCCGCTTCACAAGTGTGTTTCTATAACTCTTATTTTCCCTGCTGCCTGTGCTGTTGAGTGTGTGTGTGTGTGTGTGTGTGTGTGTGTAGCTGTGGGTCAGACCTGCGCACGAGTCCCAGCGACACTTTAAAGAGCAGCCCGTCGCCTCCGAACACACCCATCCCGTTGGCTCTCCCGCAGCTGTCGATACACACCAGCTCCGGCTCCATGTCCTTGTTGGCGATGGTGAACTGCCCGAACACCAGATCTCCAACCTGGAGGAGCAAACAGCAGCGTTAGGAGGACTCATACACACCGAACACAACTTTGTTGGGTTGTTTTCCTCCACTCTGGGTTGATGTTGAGTCTTCATTTGTCCTCCTCTTTCTCTGTGTTTCAGTAAATGTGGTGATTTCTGCTGAATAATCTGAGTCTGACACATATTATGGGGAAATGCTGTGAGAGTTTTCATAACTCATCAACACACTGTTCACACTGTGTGTGTGTGTGTGTGTGTGTGTGTGTTCACACTGACTCTGCTTTGGTGATGTTGTCTGTTGTTGCTCCATTCACTTCCATTATAATCACAGTTATTGATTGTAAAGCCCTGACAGCAGATCATCCTGCATTACTGACTGCTGCTGCTTCCCTGCTGGGTCGATCTGTCATTTCACTGTTGATCATGAGTTGTTGCTGCTGGAGTGGCTCTGTCATCATGTACCTGCACGTTGGGTCTGTTCCTCTTGGTGGCTCCTTCAAAGGCCAGGTAGGACAGAGACGCCTGCTCACTTCCTCCAACGTCCACTTTGAAGACGTCTCCAGACTTTGCGGTCACGATGCCGATCACACTCTCACCCTTAGCTGGAACATACTGCAGGAAAGAGCAGAGGTCAGTCCAGAACACCTTCAGCACAGCTAGAGGAGTACCACGACACATCCTGACCTGTGCAGTGTTAAAAAGGGCCAGTTCACCCAAACATGAACACTCTGTCATTTATTCACCCTTTACTTGTTCCAGACCCGTTCAGAACACTATTAAGATATTTAGAAAAATGCTGGAAACCTGGAGCCATTGTCTTCCATTTGTTTTTCCTACTACGGAAGTCAATGGTTACCGGTTTTCTGCATTCTTCAAAGTATCTTCTCTTGTGTTTGACAAAAAAAGAAACATGTAAAGGTTTAAAAATACGCTGAGAAAGAGAGTAAATTTTCATTCTTGAGTGAACTGACCCTTTAAGATGACTAAAATAAATGATTTATATAGACCAAACGTAGTATACAGCTCCCTCTCTCTCATATATATATATTTATTTATTAGGGTTGGGCGATGTCAACCAATTTGGCAGTAGTGTGTGTTATTGTGTGTTTTCTGCCTAGTAGTGTGTTCTAGGTTGTGTGTTCTGCCCAGAAGTGTGTGTTATTGTGTTTTCTGCCCAGTAGTGTGTGTTATTTTGTGTTTTCTGCCCAGTAGTGTGTCTTATTGTTTGTTTTCTGCCCAGTAGTGTGTGTTAGTGTGTGTTTTCTGCCCAGTAGTGTGTGTTATTGTGTGTTCTGCCCAGTAGTGTGTGTTAGGTTGTGTGTTATGGCTAGTAGTGTGTGTTAGGTTGTGTGTTCTGCCTAGTAGCGTGTGTTATTGTGTGTTTTCTGCCCAGTAGTGTGTGTTAGTGTGTGTTTTCTGCCCAGTAGTGTGTGTTAGTGTGTGTTTTCTGCCCAGTAGTGTGTCTTATTGTTTGTGTTCTGCCCAGTAGTGTGTGTTAGTGTGTGTTTTCTGCCCAGTAGTGTGTGTTATTGTGTGTTTTCTGCCCAGTAGTGTGTGTTATTGTGTGTTTTCTGCCCAGTAGTGTGTGTTAGGTTGTGTGTTCTGCCTAGTAGTGTGTGGTATTGTGTGTTTTCTGCCCAGTAGTGTGTGGTATTGTGTGTTCTGGCTAGTAATGTGTGCTATGTGTGTTTTCTACCCTGTAGTGTGTGTTACTGAATTTTCTGAACAATAGTGTGTGCTGGCACATGTTGTGTGTGTGTGTTCTGACCCGTCTCTGCTGACAGTTGACCCAGTACATGTTGGGTTGTTTGTGTTTCAGGACTCCCGCTCTACACACACGGATCTCCGCTCCGCTCCGCCGCAACCCCGGGCCGCAGATCAGCCTGTCCGCTTTCGGGTTCGCGTCTCCGGCTTCAGGAGGACTGAAGGAGAACAGCAGATCGCCTGGAAGAACCACATCTCCTATCCTCTCCAGCAGACTAGTGTGAACTGAGGAGTCCATGATGGAGGAGCGGAAAACACACACAAACACACGTGTCTAAGCACTTCCGGCACGGGGGACTCTTATCCTATACAAATCAACTCATTAAAACCTCTCCAACTCTTTATGTGCACAACAGAAATATATTATAAAGATTTTTCTAAAAGCATCCCTAATATCATTCGACACCGGTAACCATCGACATCCACTGTAAGAAAATAAACACTATTGAAGTCAACAGTTACTCGTTTCCAACGCTTAAATAACTTGTGTTCAACTGAGATATGGAATTAAAACCGGTTTGGGACATGTAATGGTTGTGTAAGTGATGGCAGGGTTCATTTTGGGGAGATCTACGCCATTTATTTTGTTTATCTGATTTAACAATATTTAGTCTTTGTTTTTAAAAACTAAATATAATTAAATCGTAAAAACAATAAATCAAATACTGGATAAAGAAAGGAGGAACGTGCTAACATTCCAGCTAACACAAATCTCCTTTAATTTAGGTTATTTTTGGGACTAATTAAACTAAAACTATAACTAAAATAACTTTAACTAAATAGGAACGTTCTGGTAACCAAAAACCGTTGGCAGGGTTGTACGTGATACTGGAATAAACCAAAAAATTTTTATATTTTTGACCAGTTAAGTTAAATAATTCATACTGGAAATAAAAGTCACGATGTTTCAGAAGTTTGAAAACCGCTGAGCGGGAAATGGGGACTTTTGTGGCATTTCCGTTATGGCGGAGCACACAGAGGCAGAAGGCATCGGCCTGGCTGCAAACAGGTGCAGTTTTCGCTTTATTTTTCCCTCTCAGATAAACACAGACCCCCGGTTATCATTCGCCTTAGTTTATCCCGAAACTCCTCTGGGCTTCGTCTCCAATAAGGGAGATTTGAGTGGGTTTTAGCCTCGTCTGGCCCGTCGGAGGGTGGACAATGAAAGCAGCACAGCAGCAGTCGCCTCACTGTGTTTATATCGCAGTTTCCGCCGAGAATAAGAGCTTGAGGACACACACCGAGTCTCAGAAATAACCCTGTCAGTGTGTAGAGGGTGTGATGTGGCTGTGAGATCAGCTGGACAGTGTGTTTATGATGTTCTCAGTGCTTCAGATTCAGGTGTACTGTAATGAACACCTTCAGCAATGCAGGAGTCAGTGCAGACACTCCTCCATCATCAGTATCTGGGGTTAAAGTGTGTGTTCTGCTCGTCTTCAGCGTGTTTATGGTGTGTGTGTGTGTGTGTGTATCTGTTATTAACAGTGTTGGGGAGAGTTTCTCTCGAAAGTAACGGATTGCAGTGTCGCGTTACGGTGTTTTAATGCAGGTGATGTGCTGTGAAAGGGTTGGAACTTTGCTTTTGGCTGAAAATGAGTTGTTGACGCTTTCGGGATATGCAGGATTTCCTTCAACACATGGACATGTTCCTTGAGCCACTTGTTTTTTTTTTAATTGTCACATTGCCAGTTTCCTAACAACAATTATTTGATTTAAGTAATTTTTCCTCAGTGCTACAGTAGAGCTGCACATGATGCTCTGATATGACTCGCTGCCTGTCATGTTTATGGTGATATATATCAGGCATGGGCTGGTATTAGTTTCTGACCGTATGATAACCTTGGACATTAATATCACGGTTTCACAGTATCATGTTATTGTGCTCACTGCTCTAAAATATTTACTTTTTAAATCTCTGGTTAAAAAACTAAACTTTTTTTTCCCTTTTTGAATATATATATTCTATTTAGGGAAACATTTAAAATATTTTAGAGCAGTAAACATGTCAGGCTAAATCATTTTAATGAATCATTCACTTCTGCAGTCTTTGTTTTTTTATAAACACTAATATTTTTCCAGTTTAAAACAGAATCTTTGATTATATTTTCTGCTGGAGATACTGCTGTCCTTAAAAACAAAACAAAAATTATTAAAAAAAAAAAAGAAATCTTATTTATACCTTAGGAACGGGATAGCAGAAAATTTTCATGGTTTTAAAACCTTGACTTTCCCAAACCATGGTATACCTTGAGTCGTCCCATGCCAAATATATATATATATATATATATATATATATATATATATATATATATATATACACGAGCAATTCCGTGCAAATGTCAACCTTGCCATGAAGAAAATTAAGTTTTCCTCAAAATACCGAAACCGTTTTTTTTTTTTTTGGACAAGTATTTTACAGTACAAACTAATCTATTTAATTTAGCAAAGTCATACAAGTGGCAACTTCACATTTGTCACATCCATAACGACACTTTTTTTCTCTTAAATATGAAAATATTAAATAAATAAAATCAATCATGTTTATTGTACAGTGAGCGACTCTTCTCCTTTAGATTAGCATTGTTTCTTTTGGGTTGTGCAGATTAATTGACAGAATTTCTACAAAGCATGTTGTATACTGTAAACCCGCAGACGTTTTTTGCTCACATCCATAACGCATGTTTATTTTCCTCATTTAAAGTATAAAACATGTCTACAGATTGATCATTTCTGCTCCCTTAACTCTGTGGCCAGTTGTTCTGGAAAATATAAACAGCTGTTTCAATATAATGTTATCATGTGCTTTCACTGTGAGTTTATGTTTTGAGTTTTTACTGCAAATGTCACATCCATAACACTGGAATTGCGCATATATATATATATATATATATAGGCCTGTCATGATATCTGTTTTTTGTTGTTTGATATATCACAAGTATTGTGATAAATTAATGATTACAGCTCCAACATAAAAACAAAAGATTTGTCTACATAAAATGCAAACTTTCAAGACTGCAGCCTTCTGATGATGCTGTTATTCGCCTTTCTGTCTGCATCCCTGTAATTAAGGGTCATATTTCACTCATGTAAATTATGAAACAGTATTACTGTAAACAATGTATATCATGACATAAAGAATAGCACATAATATAAAACCTTTTCTGCATATATCAGCATATTGCACAGGCCTAATTCAATCCTTAAAGTTTCTTCATATGTAGAAAAATGAAGTAAACTGGTAACCATCAACCTCCATATTTGTTTTTCTGCTGTGGATGCCATTAGTTACTGGTTTACAGCATTCTTCAGAATATCTTCTTTAGTGCTGAACAGCATACAGAAACTCATGAAGGTTTATAAGCACTTGAGGGAGAGTAAATAGTGAGTAAATGTTGATTTTTGTGTGATCTGCCCCTTTACCTGCTGAGTTAGTTTCAGCATCGATATCGCAGTGTCTGGTATATAATGCCAGACAATATAATATCATCACAACGCAAGTGCACTCTTCCAAAAAACACATCATACTTTATTCTTAAGAATATTTCATTTAATTATTGTCATTTTAATGATTTAATAATCAGACATTGGAGTCAGAATGTGAAAACACATCCTAAATAAATAATAATAAAGATAACAAGAAAAGTGCAAGATGAAGAGAAACAGAGGCTGTGATATCTGCTGCCAGATCTGTTTTCAGTCGTCAGACACCCACATATAAATATACTATTATAGGAAATACTACAGTGTATTTAACCATGCTGGCTCCTCCAATAGAGATAGAGATGTTGCACATCAGCTCAGATGTTTTTAGGTATGGCGATATATATATATATATTACATCACCAAAAATGATTGAGGTTAGTGTTCATGTGTTGTGTGATTAGTCCATATATTGGCCATTATAAATGGTTGTCAGGATATGAGCTGAGTTATGTGGTCATATGCGATTTCTGTCATTAAAGTGTGTGTGTGTGTGTGTGTGTGTGTGTGTGTGTTCAGCATGTCCCAGCAGGCCGCTCTGCGTTTCCCCCCGGCTGTCGCTCCTCCTGCTGCTCCGCCCGCCCGCCGCCAGCCTCTGCTGAGCAGCCCAGTGCCGCCCTACACCCTGATGAGGAGTCCTCCGCCTGCTGCACGCCCGCCCTTCACACGCCTGCCCTTTGACCCCAGCGTGCCCCCGCCCATGGGCACACCGCCGCTGCAGGTGCATTCACAGGTACAGCACGCTTGCTCACACTTGAGGCAGAGTAAATAGTGAGTAAATGTGTTGTTTGTGAGAAATATTCCTTTAATCTGTGATTCGGGATGGGAAGTGAGGTTCTGACTGACACTGTGGCTCTTCTGCTCCTGAAGAGACCCCCATTCATGCCTCCGCCCGGAGGATCCATGCCTCCTCCACCCGGCATGATCTTCCCTCCAGGAATTCCTCCGTCAGTGGCTCCTGCTCAGACTCCTGCTCCGGCTCTGGCTCCTGCTCCCGCTCCCACTCCTTTGGTCTCCACTGAGGAGATCTGGGTGGAGAACAAGAGTCCGGAAGGAAAGGTATGGCTGTGGGTCTGCTTCATTAAAGGCCCTGTCAATTTCTAGAGTACTCAGCTGACACTGTTTTACTAGAACTTCTATGTTAAGCTGTTTTGACACTATCTACATTGTAAAAGCCCTATAGTAATAAAGATGAATGGCAAAGATTAAATATGTGTGTTTTTTTAGGAAGATGTTATTAGTCTTCATTATATAGTATTAGTCTGTTAGTCTTCAGGATATCTATGTGGCAAACAGTGGCAAAATTCACATGTAGATGATACAAGCATCCACGTCTCTTTCACCTAAATGGATATATATATATATAATTTATTTTTATATATATATTAGTTTCTAATAGAATCTGACCAATCAAATGCTCTCCAGTGTCTGCCATGCCCCGCCCCCTCTTCACCTGCTGTTCATTTGATGCACTTGAGCACTATGAAAGTGTCAGTAACCCCCTGCTGGTGTGTATTATTCTTACAGGTGTATTATTATAACGCACGCACCCGAGAGTCATCCTGGACCAAGCCTGAGGGGGTGAAGGTGATCCAGCAGGCAGATCTGTGTCCGCTGATGATGAGCCAGGCGGCTGTGGCGGCGGCGGGTGGAGGATCCACAGCTCCGTCCGTCAGCATCCCAGCAGCAGCAGCAGTCAGCGGCTCCACAAACACACTCGCGGCCCCCAGCGCCGGCCCCGCCGTGGTCCCCAGCATCACTGCAGCATCCCCTCTGCTGCCCACACCTGCCACAGGTCACCTTCTGATGAACATATCATGCTGTAATATAATAAACATACATGCGTAATGATATTAACAAATCACCCAACACTCCTTGATTTGTTTACTTGTATACTTTATATAGATTTATATGAAGTAATAAAACTGAATGTATTAAATCCATTTTAAAATGTGGTTGATATTATTAGCCCCCTTAAGAAACAGTTCTTTCTGACTATACTGTTGTCCAATGACTTTGCTAATTACCCTAGTGAAGCCTTTACATGTCACTTTAAGCTGAATGCTAGTGTCTTGGAGAATATCTAGTCTAATATTATGTGCTGTCATCATGGCAAGCACTAATGACATTAAATTATTAAAACTATTATCAAAGATTGTCCACTGAACAGGACTGTGAGTTTGTCTCTGTACCGCAGCATCACAGCAGTGTTTATTGTAGGCGTGCTGTGTTGAGTGTGTGTTCTTGTGTTTGCGTCTGCAGTTCCAGATGTGGTGGAGATGCCGTCAGTCGTGACCTCCGCCCCCAGTTCCATGCCAACCCCAATGCCAGCTGTCAATCAACCAACGGTCTCGGTCGCCATGACAACAGGACCACCCACTCTGCCTGTGGCGCTGTCCCACACCGTCCCGCAGCCGGCCACTACAATCCCAGGATTCCCTCCGGTGATGGTGCCGCCGTTCCGGGTGCCGCTGCCTGCCATGCCCATCCCACTGCCTGGTGCGTCTGACCTCCGACCGCTGCTGCTCTCTCTCTCTCCTGTCTGTCTCTTTGTCTTCTCTCAGCATCTAAACTCATCTGTACATTAACATGAGAGAGAAGCAGCCTCTGTCTTCATTTACTCTGTGATCAGTTGAGTCTTAAAGGGACAGTTCACCCAAACACGTCATTTCTGCTGTAGTTTATTTACTCTTTACTGATTTTAATCTGCGATACAACAAACATCATATCATAATAATGATGCATATCATCATACAGTACCAGTTCTGTAAATAATATAATAGTTATTTCTATATTATTGTTTTATTAAATTATATTCATTTACATATTAGTGCTGGGCACAGATTAATCGCAGTTAATCACATCCAAAAACACAGTTTGTTTTGACAGAGAAAGAAATATTTAACAAAGAAAAAACAATTCAAAGGAGGCGAATAATTCAGACTTCAGCTGTATATTGACCACATGTAAAGGACTATTTTATTTTTTATTTGTGTTTTAAAGTACTCAGAAAACTTCTCATTCATATGTGATCATATTTCTCACTTAATTCAGAACT